CACCCGAGGAAAAATATGAATTAATTACAAGAAACCTTCAAGAAGTTTTGGGTGAAGAAGAAATGTTAAAAATTCTTAAGGAAAGAGATTTAAAACTTTACTGGGGTACAGCACCGACTGGTAAACCGCATATTGGATATTTTGTACCAATGTCAAAAATTGCTGATTTTTTAACAGCTGGTGTTGAGGTTCGTTGTATTCTTTTTTTTTCCTTTTAATAAAAGGGGATTTAAAAAAAAAATTTTTTCGAATTTTAATTTTATTATATTATTTAATAATTGGGTAAGATAGGTTACGATTTTATTGGCTGACATTCATGCTTTTCTTGATAATATGAAAGCGCCATTAGAACTTGTAAAATTCCGAACAAAATATTATGAGGCGCTTATTAAAACTACTCTTGAATCAATTGGGGTGCCAATTGAAAAATTGAAATTTGTAGTCGGATCAGATTATCAATTGACACCCAAATACAGCATGGATAATTATAAACTTTGTGCGTTAGTTACGGAACATGATGCAAAAAAAGCGGGTGCGGAAGTGGTTAAACAAGTAGAGTCAGCTTGTTTATCAGGTTTACTTTATCCAGGATTGCAAGCATTAGATGAAGAATATTTAGAGGTTGATGCACAATTTGGAGGTGTTGATCAAAGAAAAATATTTGTTTTTGCTGAGAAACATTTACCGCATCTCGGATATAAGAAAAGAATACATTTAATGAATCCGATGGTTCCTGGCTTGGCAGGATCCAAAATGTCATCGTCAGATCCAGATTCCAAGATTGATTTACTTGATGATTTACGTACTATTACTCGTAAGATGAAGAAATCATTTTGTGAAGAAGGCAATATTACAGAGAATGGACCTTTGTCATTTGTAAAATCTGTTTTATTTCCATTGTATTCTCTCAACTTCCAAACACCACAATTTACAATCAAAAGACCAGAAAAATATGGCGGAGATGTTCACTATGCAGATTATCAATCGTTGGAGAATGATTTTCGTGATAAAAAAGTTCATCCCGGAGATTTAAAAGCATCAATTACACAAAATATTAATGCAATATTGGAACCTATTAGAAAGAAATGGGAGAGTGATCCTGAACTTAAAGAATTGGTTAAAAATGCATATCCAGAACCAGCCCCAAAAACTATTGTAAATAAAAAAAAAAAAAAAAGTAAAAAAAGTAAATAGTCAAAGTTCTACTTAATAAAGTCCTACTAATGTATTTTATTTATTTCAACTTGGATATTATCAAATAGAATTTTAAAAACTATTTAAAATATCTAATTTTTATATTTGTAAATATATCTATAATAAATTATTTATTATTACGGAGCAATCACTTAGACTTATTTAATTCAAAAATATCACTACATATGTTTAGGGACGTGTCATATATTAGCTGAGATCCTGAGATTGTGATCAAACAGAACTTTCTCTCAAAATAATCAATATATGTAATTTAAATTTAATAACTGATCCTGAACTGGAGTCCTTGTTTTGACCAAACATAAAACTCCTCTATCATTTTAATTCTAATTTTATTGAATCAATTTCACAAAGATTTTTTAATTCTTTCAATTCAATGGATGATGAGACACAATAAATATTCATGCTTTCTTTTTATGCTGACAATAGAATGGTTTTCCAGTGTACGAATTGAGTTATTATAAATAAAATAACGAAAAACGGAAAATAAATAAACGTAACTTCTTTGAATATTTCACTTAATTTCTGAATTACTTTTCCATTTTTGGATTACTTTGATAGCATCAAGTTTTTTAATGGTTATAAACCAGAAATAAAGTTTTTGATGGCAAAAAAAGGCTCCGAGAGTGGGTACGTAGTGAATTTCTATTACTATTTGATTTTTAGTATTAACGGATTGGATGCCTAATAAAAGCCACGATTTAACGTATTGAGGCTTGGAACGATATTAATATTGGAACGTGGCATCCCCATTGTGCTTCAAGCTACCCTGAACAACAACGCACACATCTAGTAAAACGATTGTTAAAGAAGGATCCATCAATAAGAGAATATCTGCATCCCTGAAAATTCCAGATCGTCCTTAATCTACCTAAACTCGAATTTGTTATAGTAGTAGCTCAGGGTAGGCAATGTTCCGCATTTCCACAAGAACTCCTTTTCCTCTCTACGTCTTTCAATAGTGGAGAATTGAATTCATCCTCGTGTAATATTAGACATTACAATAAACATACTCTTTCCGGTGTTAATAATTCACATTTTAAATTTTTTTCTTTGATAGTTAAATAGTTTATTTGCGTTCCTTTATCAATTTGAACTTAACAATAAAATAAAAATAAAATATAATTAATGAGTAAATAGATTAATCATCCATTATCCTTTATTATTATTGTTATTATTATTATATCAAATGTTGCAACATACCCACATATTACATAAAAATTATAATCATGATGCAATTAGACCAAATTTCTATTTATACGTATTGTCACGTTATTATAAAACATTTGATCTTTAAAAAATGATAAACATAGCTTGCACATAGCTTGGTAATGTCCATTACCAGGATGGTTACAATGTGTAAAATATTCCCAGATATCACTATCTTTTGGACCAAGTTTGTTTTTGTTATCGGTAGCAAAAGAAAAAATGAAAAGGAAATGGCATAAAACTCGGAAATTGACATAACTAGAAAAGTGATCTTTTTATTTGAACATAAATATTTATAACGAATATTACAACATTGCGGTTAGTTGCAACACCATAATTTTACATTATGGTGTTGCAACTTTAATTATAAGTTATTATATATATTAGCAATTATGATTAATGAAATTTAATTCACCTTATTAAAATCAACATTTAAAGGAAGTGAGTTAAATCGAGGTTATTTAATGAACTATCATTACTTGTATAACCTTTTAAGCTTTTTGATTTGGCAATTTCATCATCTAATATTCTACTTGTGTGATATGCACCTGGATGTGATTTGTGTGCTTGTTGCAAATTACTACCATCATTGCTGTTGGTACCATCACGTTTTTTAATTTTAGAAAATTTGAACAGCCCTTTTATTATATTATTATGTTTGCTATTATTTTTCAAATTTTTATTTTTAAGAATTTCTTCTATTTTATTATCAGCAAAATTAAGAAGCTCTTCGATGGTTGGTCTTTTTGATGGATCCACATCCCAACATTTTTGCATCATTTGTGCATAATCGTTAGGCATTCCTGGCAATATTGGTGGTCGTAAGCCTTCACATATATCAAAAATTAAACAATGATTATGAGCTCTATTGTCAAATGGTGGATAGCCTGCAAATATTTCCCACATCAGCATCCCAACACTATAAATATCTGTTTCTTTTGTGTTTTTTGTATTGATTTTGTCTCCAAATAGTTCAGGTGCAACATATGGTATAATTCCAAAGATTTTATTTGATGATTTTTCATCAACTGGTCCACATAATCCCAAATCTGTAATATAACAAGCACCTCCTTGTAATAATATATTACCACTATGTAAATCACAATGTATTAAATCTTTTTCATGTATTTGATATAGTGGATAACATAAATACATAAATATTGCAATTCTATTTTTTAATGTCAAATTTAAATGATTTTTTTGTAAATATTCCCTTAAACTTCCTTCTGGATGATAATTTAAAACAATTGCATAATTTCCATTATCTGGGAATTTAGTTATACCATAACAAGGAGCAATCATTTGTGATTTAATTTTAGAATAATTTATTGCCTGTAATTAAATATAAATTAATTAGTATTATATAATACAATATTGTTTATTTTTATTTTAAATGATAACTACCAACCTCATCAAAAAATGCTTTTCCTGGATTATTTAAACTTTTTAATACTATTAGTTGCCTTCCATAATAACTGAATTCCTTTTTATTTTCATCATAATCAATTATATGACCTTTTGTCCATGTAGCAGTATAAATTGAACTAAATCCACCTTCAGTCAACTTTGTAATTTCATAAAATTGTTCAAAAGGTATCCATTCTAAAATATAAGCTGGCAAAGATGCTTTCATTTGACATTGTTGAATAAAAGCATCAACTATGTTATTTCCAGATGTCCAAGTGGTGAAAAGACTCTGTAATTGTAAACTAATGCAACCTTCACAGAATCTATCAGAGTATCTTGTTGATTTACATTTGTTACATTCTTTTGGTTTACCCAATTTATAAGTTGCATTAGTTAATTCAAAGTCATAAATAAACCTTTCCATACAATATTCTTTTTCATTGTCAGAAAGCTCCTTGCTTTTTTCAACTAATGAAAAAAAATAATCTATTCTACTTTCTATATCAGAATTAGCCATTGCGTTATTATACATTTCAGTATAAATTTTATATACAAGGCTCTTTATTTCTGATGATGTTGATGATAATAATTTATTATGTGACATTGTATAAAAATAAATATTTTTATAAAAATTTTTTTTTATTTGTGACTGAAATATTACATCACTATTTATATGATCGACATGACACAACGGACTTTGACGAATGAATTGAACATAAACTCATTATTAAACAATTTTCGTGCCTCTAAGGCTCAACCAATTTTCAGTTTAAGAAAAAACCAACTGATAAGTTTCGAAGCTTGAGTCATGAATAATAAAACTTATCGGTTAAATTTTTTAAAATGAGATAATTTTTTTTTGTTTTAGTATTTTGAAGTTGACCAATTGTTACTATAAGCAATTAATATTAATGATTATAGATGATCTGCACCGTACGAGAGATGAAAATAAACGCAAGCTATAAAATTAAAGGTAATTGTTCAACATTTTGATTGTGGGTTTTATGTTACAACAACATCTTACTGATAAATTTAAAAATTCCTTATAAATTAGATTTCATGATAAATTGTATATATATACAATTCAAATTTTTTTTTTATTTCAAGTTATAGAAATAAAACGTTTCTCAAATATTAGATGTGTGGTTACAAATATCTAATATTTGAGAAATTCAGGATGGAATTTCCATTTCATCACCTTTATCATCATCATTGTTATTGTATGTTTGATTGAATAAAACATTTTTTAAAACTTGAGAAATTAATCCATGAGCTGCTTCAACAGTAATTTTGGTACTTTGGAATTGACAGTAAATATTTAGCAAATATATAATTGAAAAAAAAAAATAATTAAATAGAATAGATAAATTTAAATCCATCTAAACATATATATATATATACCTATCTCTAGTAATCTTTCCAAGCGGAGTTTCTTCCTTTTTCTTTTTTTCAGTAGCAGATGATGTATTGTTGGTATTATTGTTACTATTACTGCTAGAAGAGGAAGAAGCTGCAGCTGATGTAGATTGGGCACCAGTTGCATTTCTTGTACCACCACCACCACCACTCATGCCACCTGGAAAACCAGAAACTCTTCCATTTTGTTGTATTTGTGTTTCAGTTTGATCTAATTTTTCAGCAAGGTCATATATTTGGCCTGCTGAATACTCTCTATTCTATATAAAATTGAAAATAAATAAAAATCATTATTTTAAAATATGATGATAATAAACAGCAACAACAATATCATTATTATTAATACCGTGATTAAAGGAGATTGTGACAATGTATTGACCCAATACTTGTTCCAAAGTAATTCTAATAAATATGTATCTAATGTAGACTTAAAATGTGAAATTTCAAGCTGATAATATCTATATAAAAAAATTTATTACACACATAAGTATTATCCATTGAAACATTATGATTTAAAAATAAAGATATATATTTTGGGTATAATGGTAATAACAACTCACTGTTTACAATGAACACCAAAATCTTCAATTTTACTCAAGGGAATGGTTTGATATTCAGATGGACCATCATCTGGAGCTTTATAACCCTAATAAAAGATTTTTTTAAAAATAATTATATTTATATATATATTTCTTGAAAGGAAATAATTTATTTACTTGTGGGTAGGTTCTAAATGCACCAATTTCAACCTTTCCTGCAGATATTGTACGATTAGGATCAATCTTTACAAAATCAAAAAAAAAATAAACATTAGAAAAATTTTTTTTTATCATATCCATTAATAATACTAATAATTCATCTTAAATTTATTTTTATAATTTACCACAACAGCAACAAATGGATCTTGATATTGTTGATTTGTCATTTGTGTGTTTACGTCAATACCAGAAAGCCAGCAGCCATAACCTGGATGACTATGATACCATCCTACAATATTTTCTGCCCTTCCAACCTATTTTTTTATAAGTTGATTAAGAAAATCACACAACACATTTTTTTATTTCCAATAATGTTTATCAAATACAAACAAACCTGTTTTATAGTCATTAGGTATTGAACCATATATTCATAAGCTTCAGCTTGAGCATTCACTCTAGTTTCGGTACCTTCAACAGGTAATGCAAAAGCATCCATGATAATTATAGTATCGCCACTAATTTTTCCTTGCATTAGACCCATTACTTCAATATTTCCTCCAGAACGTGCGTGCATAACCTTTTTTTCAAATGATTATAACTAATATTATGATTGGTTTTTTTACCTTGAACTTTATAAAACAAATAACTATTTTTTTTACCATTTTTATAAGGGCCACTGCTGAGATCTTTACTTTTGTAAAATGATGAATACTGTATTTTATTATCAACGATGAAAAGTATAATAAATCGTTACAATCACATTATATAACCACATGAATAAAATACAAACTCTCTTGTCCATGGTTTGTCATGATTTATTTGTTCTTGTTCTTGGCTGTTATAACGATATATTTCATCAGCAGCTGGGTCAACTGTCATGATATTATTCGAAAATTCAAAATTCTTGCGAGCTATCTCAGTATCCATTATTATTATTATTATATAGAATGATAAAAAAAATTAACGTTGAAATGCGCAACTATTATTTGACTTTTTTATCTTCAACATTGAACGCAGAACTCCTTTTTTGATTGGCTAATCGATTTCAAACACAAGTCACAGGAGGTGTAATTACATATTACTGCTAACAAACCCCGAATATTTTTACATTTTCAATTAACATATATTCTGAAAAAATTATTTTAAAAAATCGTACATACTGGAATTATATTTAAGGTTTTTATAAATAAAGAAACATTTGTATTTTTTTTGAAAAGTTCACTATATGGAAAATTTTAATTATTGATATTAGACCTATGGTTCTTAGACATAAATCATTGTGGTGGTTGATCATCAAACATATGTTACAAATTACTATGTGCGGGTTTTTTTAGTATCATATATTTCAATAACAGTCAGACAGGATTTCACGCGATCGACATGTCTACTGTCATAGCTATGTAAAATTTGTGTGAAACATGTCAATTTTTACTATTAAAATCGAAGTTACTTTTTTGTTTGTTACTAGTACACCCATATATAGTTTTTAACAAGGAACGTGATATTTTGTACACGCATTCTTTGAGACTTATTTTATTTCCTTGTAAAATTTTAGGTATGATTTCATAAAGAAACGAAAAAGAATTACCAGTTGAAAGTTATTCATTCAGTTTTTAATGACATTACTATTTTTAGTAAAATTTTAAAAAAATTTAGTAACAGATTAAGCCCATTTACAAAAACTTAAACGAAAATGATTTACGCATAACAAAAATTAAAAATTAAACCTTTGCTTTTTTTTTTTATTAAACCAAATAAAACCATATCACCGACGGTTAAACTCTACTAGTTACAGAATATGTCACAATAGGGAATGAATGTCTTCGTATTTCGTTTGATACTCTTGCTGTGACAACCACCAAATTTATACAGTATCTTTAAAAAAAATTTTAAGGCATGTTGCTAATAAAATTGAAAATAAACTGACCTTCAAAGTCAAATTTGCATTTATATTTATATATGTAGAAGTGTCCAATTGCGAGTATAAGTAGAAATAAATGTCCAATATTATTATTTACACAGTTTTGTTCACTTAGGCATGTATTTTATAGTAAAATCGAAATAAATATAATAAATAAATAGATATTAAGTTTTTTTTTTACATTTTATTCCTAGATAAATAATAACAATTAAAATAATTAGATAATATGAGCAAGCAACAATAACATAACAATTGTCTAAAATGGGAAGTGAAACATTTAAAAAGCGTCAACGAATCGCGATTTAAAATCAATATTAAATAACATTAGTGCATATTAGCTATAAATAATTTTTTGAATATGATGCACAATAGAATCCTAAGATCACTCAATTCGATCAAGTATTTAGCGAGAAACAAAAATATATAGTAATAGGTAAAGACTATTGTGGTTTTTCATTAATGCTTATTATTATATGGTGTTTTCAAATAAGAATCAAAACCACCACCATACAATATTTGGCAAAACTTCTTTACCCAATTTTGGTACATGGAATACTTTTTCACCATTCAATATTAGGAAATCTCTAAAAGATCAAGAATTAATAAAACTAAATCTATCAGCTTTAGTCAAAATAACACCAAGTTCAGAATGTACTATTCCATTCCTAGTAAAAATAAGATAAAAATTGAAATTTTATTTATTGTTTATTATTATATTATATAAATCTAAATAAACACTTTTCTTGTCTGAGCTTATTTCCCTATGAACATTTGTGTAGAATTCATTCCCAAGATGTGGTGTTGAAAAATGCACCATCCATATCAATTGAAATGTGAAAAATGAAAAATGCTGATACCTGGAAATGAAGACGAAGCAGTTAATAGGAAAAAGATCGATATATAATAAATATTTTCTAGTTTTCCACTTGATTTTTCAGTTAAATTTAAAATTTTTAGAATAAATTACTTTAAACTGGGTTTGGTTCTTTGTAAAAAGCAAATACATTTCTTCGAAAATAAGTAAAACTTTACCTTCCAATCCTTTGTTGAATTGCCCGGTAATAGTCCTTTCATTAGCAGTTTTGCGAGTAATTTTAGAACCAAGAATCATTCCTTGGAGGAACCATGTAAGCATTGCTTTATCAGTTTCTGGGTCTGAATATAGAAACATGGATTTTTCATTTTTTGGTACATGAAATTAGTACCATCATATATAACTCTTGCTTTTATCATAATAACAGAGAAATTCTCTCGTGTGGTTAAGAAATAGCTTTACTTAATCCCGAAATTTAGAATGGGATGGATTGGGATAGAGATATTCCAGAAATTGATTAATATTAATATAATGAGAATTGCTATTTCTCACCGGTGGTGATTGTCACCACCTAAGGGATTAAATTTGCGTGGGGCGGAGTTAGGGTTGGGGTTAATCATAAATTGTATAATTCCTCAGGTGGTGACAATCACCACCGGTGAGAAATAGTAATTCCCTAATATAATACCTACCTTCTAGATCTTGATAGGGACGAGTGCTAACTTCAAGGGCAAAGAATGAAGTCTTTTTTGTAAGCCATGATAGAAGACTAAATTCATATATCACTCTACCCTCATTATACAACTTTTTAGTGCCACTTGGAAATATGTAAGGGATTTGCAAGAATCTTTTTTTATGATAATGCTTAACAGTTTGATTTCTTGGCATCCATTTATATATTCCTACATTAGCACAAGCAAATTAGCTCACTAAATGTGCTTTAGCAGGTTGCAAATCTTGAGGAGTTTTAGTTGAATCAAGAAGAGATCTAAGGTGCAAATCACTGTATTCTTTGGTAGTGACATTATCTGGCTAATAATCTGCATATATAATTTCTAAATTTGGTTACCTTCTGGTCATGGAAATAAAATTACAAGGATTTTTAAATGATTAAACATCACTATTTGGTAGATGTGTCAAATATGCACATTTTTTTATTATTACCTATACCTCAGGCAAGTTCATGTCTATAGTATGGGTATGCTTAATTGCGAATTCTGATCATATCCCGAATTGCTTTTCGGAAAAAGTGCATTCCATGCATTAATATTAATATTAAGAAATGATATGAACCGAGTTCACGTGATCATATAATGCAAGCAAATTTGAGGCCAAAATTTTGGGACGTAATAACACTTTATCAAGTTGTCTGATTTTTGATGATTTTGGGCTTGTTAGAATTGCCTAAACAAGGGAGTATTTATATTCGGCTATGTATGAAGAATAGGTATGCCATAAGGGGTAGGTGGCAGCCATGTAAAAGTTTGGCGAATTTTGGTCCAAGGTGTGGTCTGAAAATGGTATTATTCTGACTTTGGACCAAAAAAGTATGTTCTGGGGTGTAAATCAATACATTCTGGACAGGAAAATTGATTGGTCCAAGGAGGCCAAGGAAGAATCGGAAAACGAATAAAACAAATGAAACAAATGAAACTAATGAAACTAATGAAACCAATGAAACCTAATAAAATAGAATGATTCAAATAAAACGAATAAAATGAATAAAAGCGAATAAAATGAATAAAATGGACAATTCAAATAAAGCTAAACAAACAATTCAGAATTTCTATTAATATTAATATTAAAAATGTGCAACATGGCCTATTTCCAAAATTTTTTATCGGACATTCTAAAATTTTATCAGAATTCTTGAAATTTTATAATAGGAATTTCCACCCTGATCTTCATCAGCTTGTTTGATGCTAATACCCTTGTTGTATGATTAATAAAATAAATTATTAGTTATTTATTCAACAACATTCATTTATCAGTCAGAAGTGAAATTGGATTGATTGGTCAATTCTTTAGATGCAAAAAGAATAATTTTATTAAATTCAAGTATGTTTTAAGTATATATAAAGGAAATTACAAAATAAGAAAATAGGTATATTTAAGTGTATAATTAGGATATCTGCATTCCTATTACTGTAAAAAAATAAGAATGTTTAATTGTAAAATAAGCATATTCATACATATTTTGTAAATAATTAGTAAATCAACTTTTTTGATTTAAGTATGTTTTGTAAAAATAAGTAGGAAATAAATATCTAAACTTTCTGTAGGAATTCAAACGTTTTATTCTTTGTTGCTCATTAATCAAAGGTTTAGAAACAGGAACATCGGAAAATATGTTGATTTCGTGTAAACTTCTTTTAATAGTTTTTGTAGAAACATGTAAATCAGTTTCTTGATTAAAATAGTTCTTTGTCTGTTCAGCTGATTTATGTTTGTTATGTTTAACGATATTTTTTAATGATTGTTGATGGTCAGTATTTAAAATTTTTGGGCATCCACTTCTTGGTAAATCTGCCATACTATCTCTTTCTTGAAAATTCTTCATACTGTTGTGGTGGGAAAACCAATTATTTAGAAATACTTCTATATGAAGCTCCATTTTTATAAAGGCTAACTATTTGTCCACGTTGAGCTTCAGCATTTTTTTTTTTTTTGAAATTTAAAATTTTGAAAATATTTTTTCAGAATCAGCAAAAATTGGGTTTTCATATACAAAATTTCCAAAACTTATTACAATGTAGTTCCTGGACAATTTCTAAAAGCATCATGTCAAAAATTTTTGATTGCCAAAATTTAATCGAATTTCATTTTTATACACTGCCTGAAAGAAAGTATCGGAACCTCATTTTTTATTAGTTACGCAAAAACCTAGATGATAATTATAAATAAAATTCATATCATCATGTAGCTTTGGTCTTGAAGAATATTTATATAAAATCCCACGCTTCTATCATTCATATTTATTTTTTGGTTAAAAAAAAAACAAACTTCAATTAAATAAATAAAAAAATCAAGACAATCATCAAATTTTAAAAAATAGAAACAAAAGTTGGTATTTTGTTAGCTATCCATTATTGGACATGCATGCCTTGATTCTTCTTGGCATGCTTTTGATTAATTTGTTATAAACTTCTTCAGGAATGTTAGACCATTCATTCCTCTTGCAATGCAATCTCCAATTCTTGAGCATTTTTAGGATAATTTTCACGTTATTTTAATATTCTTTCCAACTCATCCCAAAGATGCCCAATTGGATTGAGATCAGGAGATTGCGATGGCCAATTAGACAAAATGTTTATGCTGTTATTGCTTATCCAAGTTTGCACATTTTTTTGCAGTATGCATTGGTGCATTGTTCTTATTAAAAGGCAACAAATTTCTTAATCAATTTTTTATCACTGATTATTTTTAATAACAAACTATTTATTAATAGAAAAGACATAATATTTTGACCAATCATTTTTTAGAACTTAAACTACAAATAACAGTTCAGTTTTTTTTTTATTATGTAAAATTTTTCGAAAATACAAATTCAAAAAATATCCAAAAATGAAAATCGCGAATTTGATCGAGGTTTGCTTTTTTAAACCAAAAAAATAAATATGAATGATAGAAGCGTGGGATTTTATATAAATATTCTCAAGACCAAAGCTACATGATGATATAAATTTTATTTATATTTATCATGTAGGTTTTTGTGTAATTAATAAAAAATGAGATTCCGATACTTTCTTCCAGGCAGTGATATTTATTTGAGTCCTACGGAACCCAAATGCATGAATTTTGCATAGATATTCACAAGAACCTAAACTGAAAATGATATAGATTTCATATATCTTTATTATGTATATTTTTGCGCAATTAACAAAAGCAAGTGTTCCGAAACTTTTGTCCGGGTACTGTATCTTGTCAATTTACAATTGTTGCATTCTTTTAAGTTGTCTTCTTTATTTCTTATATTTCTTAATTCCAAATATAAATAAACTTTTCCTTACAATATTCTTTTTCATTTTCAGAAAGTTCCTTTTTTTTTTTTTGGACTAATAAAATAAAATAATCTTTTTTGCTTTCTTAGCCAGAGCATTGTTACGTATTTCAACATTGCAAATTACGCTTTTTCTGGTGATAATGAATCATTATATGGCATTGTGTAAAATATAAAATATAAGAATTGATTTTGTGTTTTAATGAAAAATGAGGTATTTTTTTGAGTATATCAGTTACACTATTTATTATTTCCATTTTCTTTGCGGGAGAATTGAATAGCAAATAGTTTTTATTTGATTACTTTAATTATTATTATAATAACAGGGGTTTAACGTTAATATTAATATTATTATTAATATTAAGAGTTTAAAAAAATGTCACCATGGCGCAGCTCACAAGAAAATGAAAAAATTTCTCCCCTCCCTATCCCTTCGTTCCTCATTCATTTTCTCCTTTCCCAACATAATAGAAATTAAAAGAGCTAATCTTTAAACATTTATTTAACAAACTTCACGCACTCTTTCAAAAACTCAACTTTTGGTTGGACGAATCCACCAATATTTTAAACTAAAGACTGGTCATATAGACCTTTATACAATTGACTTCTTGACTATTCGAGAAGCAACAACAACAACAACAACAACAAAAAAGAAACTTTGCTGTTGGACATATCCACCCACACACTACCAAACCTCCAAAAGGTTGCTACTGAGTATTTAATGAGTATGCCTGTTATTGTTAAGATAAATAGCAAATAATAAAGTATTGCATCGGGTGCCATTTATGATAGCACGGGTGATAGAAAAATCAAAAAAAACTTTAAAAACGTCGAATTCTTTTTTGTATTTCTTTTTTTATATATAAATTTCTTTCTTCATTTGTTTTTCTTTTTTTTCTTTCGATACTGGTATTAATAAAAAAAAAATATCAAGAAAGTTTGCACTAATATTAATATTAATCCGTTAATATTACTATCTTTCAATCCTTCGAATCCGATATTGGTGAAACATGGCTGGTTTGTCTTCAAAATGAACAACAACCACCACCATCAAGACCAAACAAACAAAAGCGTAATTGGACATGAACTTACTTCAAAAGTGATCACAACGATCAAGAAGAACCAGTAAAACTTTATTCGGTCTTAAATAAAGCCGGTAAAGAATGCAGTACTGGAAATCAAATAAACTAAAATTTGAAACAATTTAATTAAAATTAAAATATTAATATACACTATATATACCCTATCTTAACGGTTCATAGTACTAAAATCGTGAAACGTAGCTTTAACATTTTTAACCAAAAAATAATTTCTATAGTAAGGTTTTTTTTATGTGTATCGCGCATCCGTTGTGACAAGTCTTGACCTGTACCTCTAATATTGGTTTTTCTTGTAATTACTATTATTTGTTTTTTACTTTAATTTATCTTGTAATTTAATTCTAATTAATGACGTTTTTTTTTTGTAAGCAAAGTTTATTTAAACAGTTAAATTCCGATGGAGATTCATTTATCTAAAAAAAAAAAATCCAAAATTCATTTATAAAATAATAACTGGATAAGTTTTTATAAATATTGACTCTTCCTCAATTCTTTTTTATAAATACCTATCTTCCTTAATTCTAAATTTCTCATAAGAAAAAAGTGAAAATTGACAAAGATTAACTGAACAATCAATCAAAATGAAATTCAATATTTCCATTCTATTCTTGATTATCTTTGCTGTTATTGCTTTAGCAAGACCATTTGACCATATTTTGAAGGAACGTAAGTATTATGATGCGCCATAATGGATTTATTAACTGAGTCGGTCTGTCTCCAAATTTATTTTTATAATAAATATATTTGGATATTAACATGAACCTAATTAATAACTGGACTTTTGTCCATTATGGCACCCTATATTTCATTCATTACAATAAATATTAAAAAATATTAATCGTTGATTTTCATTTTATTTTAAAAAAATAAATAGATAGAAAGTAAGTATTTTCACCAATATCATTGTTTTTGAAAATTATCAACTATTGATTTTCATTTTATTTTAAATAATAAATAGGGAGTAAGTATCTTCATCATTACATTACAGTCAATATAAAAATATTAACTGTTGATTTTTATTTATTTTAAATAATAAATAGTCCGTAAGTATTTTCGTCATCATTATTATTATTACTATATACAATATCATTGTTTTTGAAAAATATTAACTGTTGATTTTCATTTCATTTTAAATAATAAATAGCATGTAAGTATTTTCTTCATCATTATTATACCATTGTTTTTTGAAAAATATTAACTGTTGATTTTCATTTATTTTTAAATAATAAATAGTCAGTAAGTAATTTTATCATCATCGTTATATCTATTGTTTTTGAAAAATATTATTAACTATTGATTTTCATTTTATTTTAAATAATAAATAGACAGTAAGTATTTTCATCATTATTATTTTATTGTTTTTTGAAAAATATTAACTGTTGATTTTCATTTTATTTTAAATAATAAATAGTGAGTAAGTATTTTTATCATTGTTATCACTACAGCCAATATCATTATTACTTTTAAAAAAATATTAACTGTTGATTCCATTTTATTTTAAATAATAAATAGTCCGTAAGTATTTTCATCATTGTCATTATTATTATTACTACAATATCATTGTTTTTTGAAAAATATTAACTGTTTGATTTTCATTTTATTTTAAATAATAAATAGACGGTAATTATTTTCCATCATCATTATATTACTAAAGTCAATATTGTATCTGAAAAAAATATTAACTATTTATTTTTATTTTATTTTAAATAATAAATAGCTGGTAGGAATTTTCATCATTGTTATCATTACAGTCAATATTATTGTTTTTAAAAAATATTAACTGTTGATTTTCATTTATTTTAAATAATTTGAAAAATATTAATTATTGATTTCAAATAGTGTATAGGCTGTAAATATCCTATATTTGCTCTTTGATTCTCTTATCATAGCTAGCTTCATTTATTACTTTAAATTTTTGGTAATCTAAATTCTATTCTTTATTTACTTTTATATTCCTTTATTACAATTATTTCATTAGGTTTCTTTATATTTATTATTTTATCATCCAATAAGCCTTTGTTTTTTAATGTTTATATTTGTTGTTAATTTTATGTTGCATAAGAATTTTTTATATTACAACATTATTTAAAAAGTCACCTCACAACTTTGAGAATTTTCCCAAAAATCCAAAAAAAAATCATTTGGTCATGTAATCTTTCCTATAAATAGTAAAATTGGCAATAATAATATGATTGGCTTGGCCTAAAGACCTCCTTTAGCTGCGCCATGCGTTCAAATTTCAAAAATTGCAATTTCGTGATTAATTCAAAAAATGCAATAAAATTTTTTGATGGATGTACACAATACATGATCAATGAAAACAAAGAAAAGAAGTGGTTGAATATAAATGTTTGATTGGTTCACATGCAATTAAAGAAAATATGATGCTTAAGATTCAATGCATCCACAAAAACAAAATATATTATTTACAACATTAACATCTGTTTCCCAAGCAATCAAATTCAAAAGATAAAATGTTTGACAACTCCCAAGAAGGGAAGCACAGATTAGTATTAGCCAATCAGAATCCCATATTCAAGTAAGCCACCCAAAATTATAAAAAAAATATATTTTTATCTTTGCCTATCAAAACATTGAAAGAATTTTTTAAACAAATGTTTAACAAAAAAATCAACAACAATATTGCAGACCCTGATAATCAATTGGGTTAAATTTAATATTAGAAAATTGAATATTTTAGAACAGAAACTATTGCTATTGAATAACACTTTTATTAGATCTGATATTGGTTCACATTCATAATATCAATTAAAGGTTTGTACATTTCTTTTCCTTTTTAATTTAAGAAAATTAATCTTTTATATTCATTTATGACATTGACATCTGGGCATGGACAATAGAAAGGGGTAAACATCAAAGTCACGATTTTGAGAAAATTGAAAAAATGATTTTGACCCAAAAACTCGGAAATTTCATATCATTTCTATATTCATGACAAAACTAGGGGCTATTTTAATAACTACAGTCAGGGTTCTTTCCAAATTTGGAAATAGAAGTTTACACCACTTTGCCAATCAATTCATTTATCTTTCATATGTTACAAATAAGTTGATGTGATACTTTGTGCCCTTTGAAATTTTTTTTTTGTTTTTAAAATTACTATTACACGAGTTGAAATAAATTACTATAATATTTCTCTTTCATAATCTGTTAAAAATCTATAAAAATCTATTGTCTTCCTCAAAGTATGCTTTGGCTTAAAATTCAAATTTTTGTATATAGAAGTTCAAATGATTTAACTTTTTTTACAATTTACTAAAATTTTTCTTTTTTTCCGACTTTAGTGAATAAAACACTTGCTAGCGATTTACCTTGTTTATTTGCTTCACTTGTTCAAAAATACCAATTGGTGCCATGTGACGATGCTAACAGTGACAAGAAATATTGGAGACGAGCATCAGGAAGTAAAGCAAATGAGTGTGTAAAAATATTTGCTAAGTATTTTCCTGAATTATCTTTATTAATTCAATCTTTAGATAATTATTCAATTTGTGTTAGACATTACAATCAAATTGTTACTTCTAATGTTTTTCTTGAAAAATTAAAAGCAATAGATGATTCTGTTTCTAGTTCTTTAAGAGAAGAAGGCCAACGAAAACGACCTAAAGTAATTGATGAAGATGCAGAAATTCCACAAGAACAGGACACACGCCACATAAATATTTTGTTAGAATTAGAAAAAACAAAGAATCAATTAAATCAATATGAATATCAACAATAAAAGATGCTAATCTCATAAATGAATATCAACAAAGAATAAATGGGCTAGAAATGCAGAATTCAAAATTAATATCAGAAAATAAAAAATTGAAAGAAAAGTGGAATAATAGATACAATGATCAACAATTGAGAGTTGAGTCTATTATAGAAATTGCTAAGTGTGAACGTAAAAACATATATGATGATATCATTAGCTTAATTAATGATCATCTCCAATATTTCTTGTCACTGTTAGCATCGTCACATGGCACCAATTGGTATTTTTGAACAAGTGAAGCAAACAAACAAGGTAAATCGCTAGCAAGTGTTTTATTCACTAAGGTCAGAAAAAAAGAAAAATTTTAGTAAATTGTAAAAATAGTTAAATCATTTAAAGCATACTTTGAGGAAGAAAATAGATTTTTATAGATTTTTAACAGATTATGAAAGAGAAATATTATAGTAATTTATTTCAACTCGTGTAATAGTAATTTTAAAAACAAAAAAAAAATTTCAAAGGGCACAAAGTATCACATCAACTTATTTGTAACATATGAAAGATAAATGAATTGATTGGCAAAGTGGTGTAAACTTCTATTTCCAAATTTGGAAAGAACCCTGACTGAAATAAACCAGTACAATGATCAACAATTGAGAGTTGAGTCTATTATAGAAATTGCTAAGTGTGAACGTAAAAACATATATGATGATATCATTAGCTTAATTAATGATCAAGATCGATTTAGTTTAGATGGCCTTTTAAGATACTCTGCTTCTGAATGGCTCGCTAGGCAAAATCCAGTAGTCATAGAATTTATAAAACAAATTACAACACATGAAAATGAAAATCTACTTGAAGAACAACTTTTTAAATGTGTAGTAGCAGTTGATGCTATTTATGGTGCAAGACATCGTAAATATGTTTCTGCAATTAATTTAGCTGCATCAGCTGTCAAATACTCAATAGCAAAATCAAAAACAATTATTGATTTAGATAGTCACTTTTTGAGTTCTGGTGGTTACAAGAAATTCATCAAATGGCAAGAAAATTTAGCTGGTGAAGCTATACCACTTCCAAAAGGTTTACTAATTTTGGCCTTTGATAACGAGCAAAAGGGGGTGAAGAACTATTTAGATCGTAATTATAACACGGTGGTTTTTCATACAGTTACTAGTTTTCTTGCATTTAATTTTGATCCCATTGATCAAATACAAACAACTCAGGAACCATGGTTAAATCAAAAATTAAATTCATCACAGATTGAGGAGCTTTTTGATGTCACGCCTGAAATGCAACAATTACTTGACCAACAACTTTATGACTATCTTTCTGTCATCTTAAATGAAGCATGTGCAGAAAAAAATGATACAAATATTATTGATTATTTAGCAGCTGAGCATAATACAACAATGGGTAAACAAAAAAGGTGTAATAAATGTGGTAAAACAGAGATAGAAAATTTATGACGTAAATGTCCTGATTGTGATGAAAAATTGGCCAATATTGCTGAAATTCAACAAGAAGCTAGCCAATCAATCTTAGAGACAACAAATACCACAAAACCTTTACATATCAGATTCTACCAAAATTCTACCAAAATTTCCGATGCACCACATATAAATCCAATTAGTATAACTCAAAAATCATCCTCTCAAGATGGTGTTAAGGTGCCTGACATTTCTCTTCCAGATCCTTTACCATTAAACCCTAACTCTATTGAAAATGTTCGTAAAGTGTTAGATCACATTCAAGAAATTAGTGGAATCAACAAAAGTGAAAGAAAATGGATTCCAGTAGTTTGTGATGGAGTTCCATATAACTATGCACAAAAAATTAAGGAAGACTATCCAAGAATTCTCATGATTCCAGGACAACTTCACGAAGAAATGAATATGTTAAAAGCTTTTGTAGAGTTAAATTGGTATATTGTTTTATTTATTTATTAATTGCATATTTATTTATTTATTTATTGCATATTTATTTATTAATATAATAATTGCTAATATTTATTTATTCTTAATTTTAGGAATATTGATTTAAAAAGATTTGCACTATGTCAAGGATTTCGTTCAGAACCTCAATTGGGTTATTTTAAAAAATGTGGAGACTATCACAAAGCATGGGATTCAATTTGCAATATATACCGCCATGCAATGTCAATGGAATTGGTATGGCCATATGTTGCTTCAGTTTCTAATCCTTCTGTTGAAAGATATCTTGATTGGGCTATGAACCAAAATGATGAATTATATAAATTAAAATTTCAACAGGTAAACAATTGAAAATTATCTGATGATAATAATTTTATAAATAAATGCTAATAAACACATCAATTTTTAAGATCTTTTGGTATCTACAAGCTATAATCAACTATCGTACTGGAATAAGGAACAAACTACCTCTTCTTAAAGCAGCAGCACGAAGAATTTTTGCTCCAATTTGGTCAGCAAGAAGACACCCTATTTATCAATCAATTGAGGTTGCTGATGAAGAACAACAATTACGCCTTTGTCCTGAAATTCGTCAGATCATTGAGCAAAATTCTGTTGTGTCTAAGGTTGTGGGCGAAACCTCTTAATGACTGTCGAAACTCTGTTGAAACTCTAATGAACAATTAATGTGTAACCTGTCAAAACTCTGATGATTGGCGAAAACCCCAAATGCGAAACTCTGCCGAAACTCTAATAAACAATTAATGTGTAACCTGTCGAAACTCTGTCGATTGATTTCTGGAGGAGTTTCTCCCGCAACCTTAGTTGTGTCCAGGTCTGGATGGATATCTCAACACCAGGGTTTAGATGCTATACTTGAAGAAGTGAATAAAGCATTAAAAGTACTTGTACCACCTGTTCCTACACAAAAACATTGGGAGATTGCTGCTAGGAATTGTATTAAGTTTTTGATGGTAATCATTAATATTATTTGTATTGTAAAAATCAAAATTTTTTTAACTTAAAATTTTTTTACCACTAGCTTCGAAAGAAATTATTTTCTACAATTGGTTATACAGATCATGAAAGTACAGGTTCTCGTTCACGTCCAGGCTTTGAAAAAGAATCACAGCACTTTAGAGTAGAATTAAGAAAAATTGGTTTCTTGGATCCATTTGAACCTAATCGTGCCTTTGAAAGTTTGGACAAAAATAAATTAAGTGAGGCAATGAAATCATTTAGCTCAACAGCTAAAGCTCATCGAATAGATTTCATTAAAGAAAAACTAGGTTCAATAAAACCATCTAGAAGAACTACACGCATCATACCAATTACTCTTGAAGAAGAAGAAAAGCAATCATCAGAAAATTTAATGTCAAAAAGGGAATTAATATTGATAATTCAATCATTAATTGGATCATTAAATGAAACCAATCGCCCACAGTTTAAAGGACTAGCATCAAAAAAGAAAGAAGAATTACTGTTGATTTTGCAACAAGTTAAAGATATCCATGATGGAGCTGATAATGATGAAGTAGAAGAGATGATTTGAAAGGAAACTGTAAAAGGCAATTGAATCATGTGTTGTGTAATAATAAGATAAGCATCATTTAATGTATAATTAATTTATTGATTATTTAATTCTAAATTTTTTGCCAACCAGAAATTTGATCCTTTTTCCATTATCATTAAGAATT